GTTTCGGGTTTAAGGTTTCGGGTTTGGGGTTTAGGCTTTAAAGGCCAGGGTGTCAACCCTATAAGTATAAAGCCTCAACGCTGTCAAACCTACAGTAACCCTAAGGGTCCAAAGGACCGAATCGTCATGTACATAGGTTTCGGATAGTAGTTTTGTAGGTTAGTATTCAGAAGAGTATATGAAAATTAGGTACTTGGACCCCTACGGCAAGCCTAAATCCAAAACACTGCCAAAACCCCGCGCTTCCCGACAACCTAGACAGCATCTAACTTCCGTTTAAGGACTATGAAGCGAAACGACATGCGAGACCCAGAAGAGACCTGCGACCCTCCAGCGGGTTCTTGTTAAGGGACTTATTTTCAGTTACCATAATAGGGATCTATAGTAACTAATATGGTTTAGGGTTTAGTGATTTAATTTAAGTTACCATAATGAATAGGGATCTATAGTAAATAATATGGTTTCCTTAGTATGGTAGCTTAAATCATATCCCTTAACAGGAACCCAGTCCACTTGGGGTAGAACCGCCGGATTCGTGCCCAGTGTTGGGGCTTCACCAGGTTTAGACTTTTCGGGGTGCTTGAGGGTTTAAGGTTTCGGGTGCTTAGGGCTAAAAATAGCGTCTCAAGGTCCAGGATTTTGGGGTCCAGAGCTTTCGGTTCATCTTGCCCTCTTGGAGCTTGAGCTTATGCAATGGGGAACCTCATTTCCAACCTCGTTCTGAATACACAAGGAGATCCAAAGACAGAGCACGGCACATCACCAAGATGCCTCTCCGGGGACATGTACCTGGTCAAAATAGCTATGAGCTTTTCGGCTTCTGGGTAGCGGAGGAAACTTGCGGGGAATCGGATGTTTGGGGCCTGCACACCCTAAACCCTAGACCCTGAAAACCCCACTCTGGCCCCACACCTTAACCCTAGCCCATAAAAAATCCTAACCCCCATGGCATCCCTCCTCAAACTCCTAATCTTTCAGAGACAGGTTCGCGCAAGTCCACCCCAGCACGCCATCTTAAACCGGACCTTAATCCAACATTTTTGTAGGCTCTTAGTATAAGCCTTTATAGAGAATTTACAGGGGCACACTGCAAAACAGTAGGTTTTGGTAGTTCAAACCCTTCACCATCTTCGACTTGCCCGTTCCCGTCTCGAAGCCCTGCCATCCGCCCCAAAATGCGAGCCCGAGCAGGGCTCCGCTTAGAACGACATGTACTCCAAAAGGGCTTAGGGTTCAGGGTTCCACTGTTTGTACGCGTATCCCTAAACCCCAAACCCTGAACCCTACTATAGATCTGCTCAGCGCAAACTTCCACACGCCATATGTCTACCCTCATTTATGCGATGCATACCTACAAATCACATGGTACTTTATGCCACACTTAATATACTTTAAGGAAGGCTATGAAGGGCCATCTGCCTCTGTTGAAACGGTGCAGCCAGGATCCTTGGTGAATGCCCCCTTTTTCCGCGGCCTCTTACGAGGGACGTCTCAGTCTCTGCAGTCGGCTGTAGAAGGGTATAGCGAGCAATGCCACAATGCAAAACCCAGCACCGCACATTGCAGCCATTTGCCAGAAGATTTCCTGGTCGCTGCTTGGGCCAGGTGCACGCATGCTAAGAGCTCCGACGGCTCTACTGACAGGCTTCTGGTCGACGCTGGCCTCCGACAGCAAGCGAACTGCTTCTGCATGGCCGTGCCATGATGCGATATCAAGAGCTGTGAAGCCTTTGTCATCAACTGCATCCTTGTCTGCCCCAGCTTCCAGGAGAAGGGTCGCAATGAGTATCTGCCCTTCGGAGCAGGCAATCATCAATGCTGTGAGGCCATTCTTCAGAGCAATGTCCGTGTCAACACCAGCGTTCAGCAGCACCTGTACGACTGCTGCACTTCCCTGCAGCGATGCGATGAAAAGAGCTGTTGCCCCATCGTCTCTGGTCAAATTCTTCGAGGCCCCTGCTTCCAACAGGTAGTAAGCGGCCTTGTAGTCGCCCACGAGAGACGCAAGCATGAGAGGCGTGCATCCACTCTTGTTTCTGGCGTCCATGTCTGCTTTCGCCTGAAGGAGCACTCGGACTATGGAAAAGTGGCCGATGCTAATTGCTCTCATGAGAGGGGTATTCCCTTCGTTGTTCGCAGCGTTCATGTCGGCGCCCCCCTTCAGCAACAGCGCTGCAATTTCCTTATGGCCGTAGTTAGCTGCGAAATGGAGAGCGGTACATCCGCCATCATCGACCGTGTCCTTGTCGGCAGAAGCCTCAACCAACAACCGCACCATATCCGTTTGGCCCTTGACAGCTGCTCTCATGAGAGCACTGTGCCCATTAGCTGTCGTAGAGTTCTTGTCAGCGCCTGCCTCAAGCAACAGAGCCACAACTTCAAGTTGACCGGTAAGGGCTGCTGATGTGAGAGCTGTCATGCCTTCGACGTCGACGACCTCTAAGTCAGCTCGCAGCTCCAGCAACAACCGCACAACGTCCTTGTGGCCTGTGACGGATGCGTTCAGAAGAGCTGTGTGGCCGTTGCCGTTGCAAGCGTCGATGCTACAGCCGGCCCCTAAGAGGACGCAGGCAGCGTCAAAGTGGCCGCGGATGGCTGCATGCCTGGGCTTCTTGAGGATCCTGACGACTTATAAAGTCACCATACTACGGAAAGCCTATTCGTCTTCGTAACACTATAAGATGCCTATTATGGTAGCTTAAATTCCGCTCCTTAACGGAACCCAGATGCATGAGAGACGTGTCGCCGCGATTGTCCCTAGTGTCGATGTCAACAGAAGCTTCAATGAGAAGCTGCAGCACCTCTGTGTGCCCACCAAGAGCAGCGAGCATAAGGGCAGTAATACCTCGGTTGTCCAGCTTCCTACGGGCTAAAGGGTCATAGCCTCTGGGAGTTATCGCCCGCAACAAGCTGAAGGTTTCTTACTCCACAAGTAAGAAACCTTACATCCATTTAAACAGTCTACTTACTCCACCACTAAGACACCGTCATCAACTCCCGCGGCATCCTTGTCAACTCCAGCTTCGAGCAGCAAACGAGCAACTTCCAAGTGACCTCTGCAACACGCCCCCATGAGAGCCTTGCTTGTTTAGGGCTTTAGGGGTTTACAGTTTAGGGTTTAGGGCTTTAGGGGTTTACGGTTTAGGGTTCTTTCAATCTTTCTTTTTTTCGGGTTCAGAGTTTGGGGTTTAGGGCTTAGGGCTTTAGGGGTTTAGCTAGCGGTTTAGTGGGAAGATGAACATGAAAGACTGTCAAAAAACACCGACTACAGCGTCGAAGAGCTCTTAAAGAACAAGCTTTAGTATTAGAGATCTGAGGAGCTGTGGCGCCGTTATGGTCAACTGAGTCTTTGTCAGCTTTCGCTTCCAGCAGCAAACGCACAGTTTCAATGTGACCGTGCAAGGATGCAATGAAAATTGGTCTGCCGCCACTCCGATCAGGTGCGTCGGGGTCTTGAGGGAGTTGCAGTATGGCTTCCACTTTGCTCAACGAGCCACATTCTGCTGCAGCCGCGAGACTGTCTGCTTCTGATTGGGATGGTTTTTGCAAGGCTTGCAGAACGACAGTCGCATCGACGGATGGGTCCAGTTTAGCAGAGTCATCGAGGTTTCTCCCATCGATAAGGATCCTTTGCCGAAACCGTGGGGGAAACTGATGCAGGTCATGAAGCAGCCGTTTTAAGGCCTTCACATCCTCCAGCTCCTCCACCGGGCACGTAATGCTTTCACCGGAAAGAGTCCAGAGACGCAGCATCGCAGTCACTCAGAGTCTTCCTAAACCCGCAAAGCCGTAACCCCTAAACCCCCGAACCAAACCTCTAAAGCCTAAACCCTTACACCCTAATCCCTGAAATCCCAAAGCGCTAACCCCTAAACCCCTAACCCCTAAACCTCTATAAACCCGAAACTCCTGAACCCTAAACTCCTTAAACCGAGGCTGCCTCTGAATGAGTCTTTGGGCGTCAGAGCCACTGTACAGCCTGTCTGAGCCGAGGCTTCATGATACTGGTTTGAGGGCTTAGGGGTTTAGGGGTTTAGGGTTTTATTCTTACATATTCATACTTACCCATAATTAAGTAGTTTCATGATCATACTACGGGTTTGGGAGGCATGTACGCATAGCACTTTAGACTTCTCCAGGGGCTGTAAGAAAACATTAGTACGGATTCGTGGGGTCTTCATCTCCACTTACCCCATTGCACCCGATAATCCTAAACTTTTAAACCGTTGTGAGCTTTGTCGTGACGCCTTCGTAGCTCGTCAATACCGAAGACCAGCATGCACCGAGTTACAAGGTCCTTCCTGAAGAGCTAGTTGAAGCTACCATATTCGGGATCTGTACATAACATGGTGTCCTTATGGTGCTAACTCAACCACGGAACCACCGCGTGGCCTGTCGCAAAATTCAGGTTTGCAAACTGGCAATGCCCACAGATCATGACGACCTGAGGGTAGTTCTCTAAATTAGGGCCCCCAATTTGGTACGGCACCCTACTTATAAAAAGGACCCCAACTACCCCTGAGATGTTATCGAAAGAAGGCTGGCAGTGAACTCCCCGAACGATGGTTGTGAGTCGGGAGCCTACAACCCTGAACCTCAAGCCCTAAGCCCTAAGCCCCAAACCCTAAACCCTGAGCCTCAAGCCCTAAGCCCTAAACCGTAAACTCTGAACCTCAAGCCCTAAACCCTAAAGACTCTGTGAGCCTTAAATTAAAGCTTATCATCAACTCCACAGGCCCAGCTAGCCCTCTAATAGTCTAACCGTTTAACCTAAACTCTACAGCCCCATACTAAAACCTGAGCCGCCTTCCATCCGTCGATGTCGAAGGAAAATTACACAAAAGACAACAAAAACTCGGAGGCACGTGGCTGTGCCGACGAAGGTCGCAGTGGCATCCTGCAGCAAAGCTGGCTTAAAGTTCGGCTCAGGGTTTAGGGTCTACCTGGACCCTAAAGAACCTACCTTTTTAGGGTTCCTTTTTATGATGTCTTGATGTCTTTATAAAAGTCCAACAATAAAAAAAGGTAGCTTATTTAGGGTCCAGGTACGGTCTGGGGTTTAGAGGGGATTAAACTTGTGCGGGGTTCGATTTGGGATTTTTGGATTAGTGAGTCCCTTTAGGGCCCGTTTATAAGGGTATGGGAACCTCAAAAGGGACCTAATTTAGAGAACTATCCCACTTAGGGTTTACAGGGGTAATACCTTACCTCGATGGCCTTGCAGACAGGAAACTGAGAGGGTTTGGCTTGCTTCATGCTCAGGGAAGACAAGTTTAGGGCTTAGGGCTTAGAGGTTTGGGGGTTTGGGGCTTAAGGTGTTTAGAATCAGTGTAGGGTGAAAGGGTAGAGGCTGTAGCTGCGACTCCCATGTCATTTGAGAAGGAGCTTGTGAGCTTGTTACTATATGGATCCAGCGCACCGCATGTAACTTGCTCTTTTCCACGTCGATTGGTTCAGCAGTTAGGGACTTAAAGGCTATAATCCCAAAAGCCCTAGTATAGATATGCAAACGTCCTTGATGATTCTATACTAGATTCAGTTGGTTCTTGATCGGAAGACTTTCAGTACAGGGGGAGCTTCCATTTGGCATACGTCAGTATCCAAATCGGATTCCGGATGCATAAGCGGCAGTTGTGTGTCATTCTATACTGAGTTCGGTCTGACTGTGTACTGAAGCTTGCGCTGGCAATCTGTGTGCATCACTTATCTTTTATTGATATCAACTAAGTCGGTTCGCTATAGAAGCATAGTTAGAATTGTTAAACAGGAATCTACTGCAAGCGCTCCAGTATAGGCACATATTATAATATGGAGTTAATATACATCGCCATGATTTCGACAGTTTCCTGAAATATCTGCTGCATGAACAGCAACACATTTAAAATGTTTTAAGGCAGTTCATGCTTACTCGGGGTTTTCCTGGCTCCGACAAGTATGTTCCATACTGGTCCATACAACAGTTATATCCCGACTAGCCCCGAAGATAGAGGATCATGGGACTTAGTAAGGAAGGCTAGAAGTACCCCAACTCAAATGGAGTTATGAGTATTTATAGCTATAGTTACCTTCTCTATACCTATAGTTACAAAACCCCATGATCCTTCAACTGGACCCTAAACCCTAAACCCTAAACCCTATACGTAGATCCCTTTTAGGGACCCCTTAAGGAACCCTTTAAGGAACTCTGAAACCCTGTAGATCCCTTTGAGGATCCCTTTAAGGAACCCTTCCAGTCCCATGATTCCTTCAAGTAGCGCTTCGGGTCGCCTGCTCGCTGCCACGCGCAAAAGCTTTGGAGATGCCGAAATCGGTGAGCTTGACCTGGCAACAGGGTTTAGATTTATAGGGTTTAGTGAGTTTAGGGTTTAGGGCTTAGTGACTTTAGGGTTTAGGGTTTAGTGAGTTTAGGGTTTAGGGTTTAGTGAGTTCAGGGTTTATGGTTTGGTGAGTTTAGGGTTTAGCGTTTAGGGCTTAATGAGTTTAGGGTTTAATGAGTTTAGGGTTTAGGGTCTAGCGTTTAGGGTTTAGTGAGTCGGCGGGCACGGGCTGCTCCTGAGCTTTAGGGTTGAGGGGTGTGGGACCACCAACAACGAATGTACTCGGGGGGAGAGAGGGGCGGGGGTGGGGTAGGTCCCTTGCGTCGCTGCCGTGCGTTGGCTTTGGGAACAGCCGAGTTGTACTTCGAACCCCCCGACTTCCACGTAACATGCCCCTCCAAATGCATGACGGTTAGGGAGAGGTGGCGGGTTTAGGCATTAGGTATCAGCATGTAGGGCTGAGGCTTGAGGGTTCAGGATTGAGGAGATCCTGACTGAGCAAGACTGCGCAAGGCTACAGTGGACTGATGTACGGGATAAGAGGGCGTATACCGTGATCGGAATTCACACTACCATCAGTTTGCTGACAGTCGCGTTTACAACTAGAGCAGCATTTTGCGTATAGCACAACGAATCCGAAAAAAAAACGAATGCGTTTATGTGTGTATACATAAACAGTGTGTGTGCACATACACGTATGTACTGTGTGCATATACATATATATGTTTATACATATGCATATATATATACATGTTTATGTATGTACATACTTGTATGTGTGTATGCCTATATCATATATATATATAGTATGTATAAATAAATACATAAATGAATAAATAAATGAACAAATAAATAAATAAGTGTGTGTATATATATATATGTACAGAATATTGGGACGTCGGGTTTCTAGAGCTGCGCCAATCAGATTGGAAGGGAAGCGGGAAGCGTTTGCGGTTTTCCGCGTCGAACTGATAAGGGGCAGAACCCCACATCCCTTTAAACCCTAAATGCTACACCCCAAACCCTAAACCCACACCCTAAACCTTAAACCCGCAACCTCCAGACCCCGAACCCCGAGCCCTTAACCCTCAACCCCGTAACCCCAAAGCCAAATCCCTCAACCCTAAACTCCGAAACCCCCCAACTCCTATATCCAGAACCCTTAAACCCTCAGCCCCAAACCCTAAACCCTAAACCCTCCAAACGCATCGGGGGGAAGCCCTAAGTTGGCCTGTGACCCCACGGTTTAGGGTTTAGGGTTTAGGCCTCCTGAGCCTCCCAGAGCTAGCAGGCCAGGCCTCTCCCGCCGAGTTGTGCAAAATGTTCCTGATGAAGATTCTTTTGAGGTTGAGGGGGCTTAGGGTTTAAGGTTTAGGCTTAAGGTGTAGGGTTTGGGGTTTAGTGTCTAGGGTTTAGGGCTTAGGGCTTAGGGTTTAAGGTTTGGGGTTTAAGGTGTAGGGTTTGGGGTTTAGTGTCTAGGGTTTAGGGCTTCGGGTTTAGGGTTTACGGTTTAGGGTTTAAGGTTTGGGGGTTGTGGTTTGGGGTTTAGGGCTTAAAGTTGATCGTTGAGGTTCCTGGGTTGCTATAAGGGATACTGCAATAATGGTTATTCAAGGGTTCTACAAGGGTAACTATAGGGACCACATGGAGGGCGACTATACTATACGGGTTACTGCCGGGGCTCGAAAAGGGCTCTACGATGGTTCTAAGCATGTTAGCATAAGGACAGAACTAATACTTGTATAAGGGATACTGTGAAACCCTCAACCCCAAACCCTAAACCCTTAACCCTGAAACCCTAAATCCTAAAACCCTAAGCCCCAAAACCTTAAACCCCAAAACTGCAAGGGTCACTGAAGGGTTGGAAGGGTTCTCCGTTGGTTCGAAGAAAGCTCTGCATGGGTTCTATACTTGGAGTTTCGAGGGACTTTAAGAACCTGCCGGATAAATACCTCCCTAAACCCTAAAGGCAGAATTAAGGCTCTGATATGTTTTTTTTAAGAGCCCTAGAGCCTAAACCGTGTCATAGGGGGTTTCCAGGGATGTAGCAGGGGTCTGAATCTAGCATCAGAGCGTGCATGTGGTGCTTATTCTGATGGTGTCAGCATGATAATTAAGTTCAAAGCCCACAAGGTCCAAACAGAATGAACAGTACCTATGTCGAGGAATGGTCATAGTGGCTGTAACCAGAACAAACCCCACTCAGGGATTTGAGGTAACTACTTCAGCAGCGGCAAAGCACAAGCAAGTCCTCCGGCCCCTTTCTTAAACCCCAAACCATCCTTGGAGGGTCGGAGGACTTAGAAAGGAGGTAGTACGTAGACTTATATGTACCCCAAAAGGGATCCGAATTGGGGCTACGAAGCTTATAAGTCATGAAGATAGCTACTTACTGCGTCCCCCCCCAACCCTCCAAGTACTACCCTAAGTCCTCAA